GAATTCAAATGAATAAATGGAATAGGAAATGCAAAGAAAGGAATGATGAGAGTAGAAAGGAAACGGAATTTGAAAATTTGATATCTCAAATAATAAAAGATGAAATTGGGCCAAAGGGATTAGTTAATAAAATTTATAAAATTATTAACTTTGATAATAATTCACAAAGGGTAATGAAATAGAATTGGGTAAAAGAACTGAGTATTGAAATTTCTGATCAAAATTGGAATATGAACTGGGTTAGTAGAATAATGAGGACATTATCAATAAGGATTAAAGAACATAACTATAAAGTCATTTGGAAGTGGTATTTGACCCCAATAAGACTTTTTCAAATGGATAATAAAGTGGATAAAATGTGTTGGAGATGTAAAGTGGAACTCGGGACATATGTTCATATGTGGTGTAAATGTAATGGGGTTGAACTTTTTTGGTCTAGGATAGAAAATGAAATATTTGAAATAATTAAGAAGAGGGACAAATTGAAATTGGAAACCATATTATTATTAATATTGAATGAAACAACATTAACAACTGGAGAAAGAGAATTGGTGAGGATTTTGGTTATAATGGGGAGAATTATAATTGCTAGATATTGGAAATTAAATGTTGACTTAAAATTAGAAGAATGGTACAATGAAACATGGAAATTTGCATTAAATGATAAATTGACTTGTGATATTAAAATTAGAAGTGGTATATATAAAGAAAATGTTTTTTGGAACACTTGGCAACCATTTGTGGACTTTGCACTTGGGAGATTGGATGAATCGGCACTAGTACCTTATCAAAGAGATTTCTGGAAGAATTGAAGACTTCAAGTTCCTAAAACTTCCTTTCCGTTTGTATAGCACGTTGGGGGAAAAAAAATTTTCTTTCCTTACTATTGATTTTTTGTATTGATTTTTTTTTCCTTTCTGTTATTCTTTAACAATAAAAATATAATAAAAATTAAAAAAAAAAAGAAACAACACATTTAAAGAAGGACTGTTTGCAAAGAAAAAGCTGTTTGCAAGGAAGAAATTATTCGCAAGACAGGAACTGTTTGCAAAGAAAATTGCAAGATGGACAAGATGATGTTGCAAAAATTGGCTATTGTAATAACAGAGACAAATGGTTGATTGACAGTAGAGCAAGTCAAACAATTGTTAACAATTCTAAATTGTTTTACAAGAATTGTTGAGTAGTGAGGGAGACCTACTTACGAGACAAGAACTGGAAAGACGAGGCATTATGATTGATTGGTGGCCATATCTTCAAATTGAGTCAAAATATACAGCAGACCGGAGACATTATGATTTTCAAAGCCAACCAAGTGAACTAGATAAAATTTTAAAAGGCACAGATGAGAAAATAATATCTAAAATTTATGAATATTTAATAAGGTATAAATTAGAGGAGGAAACAGTGAAAGAAAACATGGTAAGCTGGGCAAGAAATATAGGTTACAATAGAGTTGGACAGATGGGACAAGCTATGGGCAGAAAATTATAAGATGACACTGTCGATTCCATACAAAGAAAATTTATACAAGATATTTTATAGATGGCACCTTCCTCTGGCACGTTTGGCTAAAATGTTTCCAAACACATCACCAATGTGTTGGAAGTGCAAGACACAAATGGGGACATATTACCATCTCTGGTGGTCTTGCAGGAAGGCACAACGCTACTGGCAAGAGATTAAGAGAATAATCGAAGAAACAACGAGGCAAAGTGTAGAAATGAAACCAGAATTCTTTCTATTTGGAATGACTACACCACAGTGTACCAAGGAGATAAAATATCTTACCATCCACATATTGACAGCGGCACATATAGTGTACGCTCAGAATTGGAAATCCGAGATAATACCAACAGAAGAAAAAATAATAACAAAAATAAATGAATGCGCAGAGATGGATAGGCTCACAAAAGAGCTCCAAGATAAAGAGAACACTGACTTTTATTTAGTTTGGCAAAAATGGTACACATGGTTAGAAAGAAGGATAGGGCCAACAACATAGGACATTAGGAGAACATAACTCAAGAATTGTAGAAATAGATACATGAGATGAGCCGTAGGATTGTATAAATAAATGGTTAATATGTTTGTAGAAAGATACTGCTGAACTTCAATGAATATATTAAGGTATAAGCAAGTAAATTTGTAAATAGTATGATTAAGGAAAATTGGTTAAATGGACATTAATCACCGTGCCATCACATGATTCATGTGTTCATCTCTTGCACAGAAAGCTTGGCCATGCCAGCTTCAGAGTTTGCAAAAAAAAAAAAATGCAAGAGTTTGCAGAAGGATTAAATTTAAAGGGATGTAAGGCATATTTGGACTGTGCAGTATGCAAATCATCAAAGTCCAAAGCCTTCCAAGTAAGGAAGAGTAGCACAAGGCAGACAACAAGAGCTCTAGAGATGGTACATGCAGATTTGGTTGTGCTGATGCAAACCAGTTTGGGAGGAGCAAAGTATGTGCTGGTCATTGTAGATTACTTCAGCAGGTTTGGGTTCTGCTTATTTACTAAAGAATAAAAGGTGCTACGGAAATTTAAGCAATGGGTAAGCTTTGTAGAAAGGAGATATAAACAGGTATGACAGCTGCAAACTGACAGAGGTTCAGAATTCATGTCAGCAAGTTTTCAACAATGGTTGGGACAGTTAGGTATAAACACTATACAGGTAGTATATATACACTGTAGTATACTATACACTAAAAACACAAGAGGAACTCAGAGATCAAGGAATACAGATAGATTGGTGGCCCTATCTTCAGATAAAAATAAGATATAAAAAGGATCAAGAGGAAGGAGGAATTGAATTAAAACCGAATCGGTTGGATAAACTTTTAGAAGCCATGGAGGAAAAATTGATTTCAAAAATATACAAATATCTATTGGAATTTGATTTAGCAGAGGAATTAGTAAAGGGACATTTCTGTGCAGAAATAGACAAACTAACATTTGAAATGAACGATAAGGTAGACTCAAAATGTTATATACCGTGGAATAGGTGGTATGATTGGATAACTCGTAGAAATGAGAGTAAATGTAAAATTCTGTACGATAATAATAATTAACAAATATGCACTATTAATAAGATAATGGACGTGTGACCAAAGTCACTTTTTCTTTTTATGTATTGTCGCCTGTATTAATATATATGTATCTTGTATATACATGGTATAATATTTTACTTTTTATATGTTTAATAAAGTTTTGTTTTTAATTAAAAAAAGAAAAAAGAAAAAAAGAAAGAAACGGTCATAGACATAATCATGGAAACATTTAACGGCAGCGATAGCTGCCAGAGGCTCTTTATCTATTTGGCTGTAGTAGCTCTCTGCAGGAGATAGGGTTCTAGAAAAATAGGCAATTGGGGCCTCAGCCCTTTTGGGCAGTTTGTGACTTAGGACAGCCACAATGCCATAGGGCGAGGCATCGCATGCTAAGGTCGCTGTATTGGACCAGCACAGCATCAGAGGTTAGAAGATTCTTCACTGCTGTAAAAGCGTTAGACTTAGTTTTTCCCCATGACCAGTGTGTCTTGCTGTCCAACAGCCTGTGGAGTGGCTCAGCCACTGAGGCTTTATGAGGCAGGAAGGCACTATAAAAATTTAGTAGCCCCAGGAAAGCCTGCAATTCACTTTTGAAAGTGGGTGGTGGTGCCTTTTTAATGGCTTCAACCTTAGACGCAGTAGGGTATAGGCCAGCAGAGTCTATTAGAAATCCCAGGAATTCTACTTTACGGACTCCAAATTTATATTTAGGCTTTTTTAGTTTGAGGCCAGTTTGTTGGAAATGGGTAAGAACCATTCGTAGCCGTTTAATGAGGTTTGCTTGACTGGTGGCAGAAATTAAAATGTCATCAAAATCGGGAACGACGCCAGAATACCCTGAAGCAGGCATTCTATAAGACTTTGAAACAGGCCAGGGACCACACTAACCCCAAACTGAAGGCGATGGTATTTAAATGCTCCACTGTGTGTGACGATGGTTTGGGCTTCTGCTATAGCATCGTCTACTGGAAGTTACTGGTAGGTCTGTGCCATATCCAACTTAGCGAAAATGGTGCCCTGGCCTAGGGAATGAAGAAGGCAGATGATGGCTTTAAATCTGCATAAAGACCTGAGGTGATTTTCGCCGCAGCCAAGGCAGGTGTCAGTTTTGGAAGACAATTTTCTTTTTGCTTCTAAACTGCCACATATTTCAGCTGGGGAAGTTGGGAGGGGGTTGTTGTTGGAGCGATAGAAAGTTAGTCATAACAACATTCCATACTCAAGGACTTTTGCTCTGATGCAGACTGCATGAAGATTGTATCCGGTGGAGTGTGAAGAGTTGATTGGACAATGTGATGAACTTGTGGGTGTGGGGCAGGGCTGGGTGGGGGAAACCTGGAAGCTTTCAGATTCAGGTTTTCCCAGATGTGCCAACATGAATCTCTAATAAATTGGAACTTTGAGGAACTTCAGGACTCAGAGCTTTATTTTGTTGGGGGTGTTCATTGGAATCCTGACAGCAGGATGATTGAGAAGGTTTTTTATCTGCCGCCCACTTGTTTTTTTGGGATGATTTGAGGTGACTTACATCGTCCTCGTCGTCTGTAATGTTGTCGGGGACCTCATCGTCATGGTGAACAGCTGAGGTTTGGCCAGAGGTGGTCTGGGTCCTGTGCATCTCAGCCATTGACTTATCTGATATTTGACTTATCTGATATTTCAAAGCACATGCTTCATCCAGGGCAGACTGGAGGCTAATGTCCTTTTTGGCTAACAGGCAACGTTGCAATTGCATGTCCCTCACGCTACATACCAGTTGCTCAAGGAGAGAATCATCTAGGGAAGTGATGTCACAGTGGCCAGAGCAAGCAAGGGATTCTCTCCCGAAGCTGACAGCTCCGTTTGCTGCATCTGGTGGCTGATTAAAGCCATCCTCGAGCAGGAAAAGCTCGGGGAAAGGGAAGGGAGCATTCCAGCTCCGAAGTAGAGGTACAAGCTACTGGAAGAAGCTGAGGAACTCCCTGGGGCCGATGCATCAAGAGGATGACTGGAATGGCATCCAAAAGCCATGACTACATCTAAGCAGGAAGCCAGGACATCCCGGTAATCGCATTTAACTTGATTCGATTTTAAAACGGAAGAAAATAAGGGAACTTTGAAAGGCATTTCTATCACAAATTTTGCTTTTGCTCCTCATATTTAAGACAGAATTAAGAAGGGTGACAAAAGGGTTTTGGAGGTGAACCAAAAAAGAGAGAGTGACATTGCCTTGAATAAGATTGTAGAAGAGGAAGGCTGGATTTTGTTATTCTTAATAAAACAATCTCTCTGCTGTTTGTAAATCTGGGCTCTCTGAAGATCTGGTGAAGGGGAGTAGCAATTCGTTCAAACTATTTTGGAAAGTTACTCCGGAAGCTACAAGTAAGACGCCATTTGCATGAGCTGTCAATTTGGAACAATCTTCTGAATGTGAAAGTGAACTTACGTTGCTCTTCGATTGCCATCTAGTGATCAACCCTGGGATTTATTCTACAACTAAGCTAACCCTCTTTTTTCTTTGAGAAATTATTTATTGTGATTGGTTTGGTGATTATTATTATCCACGGGTTATTACTATTATTGAGCATTTGATAGATATTATATTGTTAATTATTAATTGATTATTCATCTCTTAATAGTAAAACTACAGCTTATTTGCCTTAATTAATTGCTCTTCATACTTATTATATTAAAGATAGATAGACTCTTAGAGTTATTGATTTCAATTCATTTTCTAATTGAAGGATTGGTCAAGTAGTGTAATTACTGTTAGAGAAAATTATCTGGAATATCAAGTACCTGGATAATTTATGTATTTTATAATCAGCACATTATCAGCAACTATAATTATAATTTAAGGGCTTAATTAATTGATTAATCCATACTTTAGTAGGAAAAATATTGAGATAAAGTAGTCTCACTAATACGAAACTGAACGATATTGACAAAGAAACATGGCAGTGCATGATTGATTGAAGAGATCTGTTAGGCCTATCCAAAATGGCTACGACCACGACAACACTTAAGAAGAAGACGCTTACATCTTCCTCCTCCCCCTCTCTGATAACAATTCCACAGATGTTAAGGAAATCAGCAGAAGATGCCTCACCCTCAGCCATATCCTGAGAACTGCAAGACATTCTTAAATCCATACAGGATATGGTACTCAAGAATCAAGATACGCTAGTTAATAATCAAGAAAGTACTTCTAAAGTACTTGAGGAATTAAAATCGGATGTGGCAACTTTATCAAACGAGACAAGGCAATTCCACACAAGATTTGAAGAGATCCAGAATATTTTAATCAACCATGAAGAGCGAATACAAACTATAGAAGAGAAAACAGCTAAAATGGATAACAGACTAGAAAAAATGGACTCTCACTATACTATGATCAATAAAAAGATGGAAAACGAGATAGTGCTGCTTGAGATGGACAGATCTGGGTATTTTCTACGTTTCCAGAATGTGGTGGAGGAAAAGGAAGAATGTCTCAACAAAGTGATGGGAGAAATATTTGCGGGAATTCTAGGACGGGATCAACTCGACGCAATGAGGGATGTTGATGAAATTTACCGCATTTACACCAGTTATGCCAGGCGTCATAATCTCCCAAGAGAAATCCACATTCGTTTCTCTAAAAAGGCAGTCTGGGAGGAGGTACTTCAGAAAACCAGGGATCAATCATTCACGTACAAAGGGAAGCATATTATAGTATTACCATAACTACCACGATGTGTGTGGGATTCTAGAAGACAATACAACTTTCTTACAACAAACTTAAGAAAATATGGAATTCAGTATCGCTGGTTACTGCCAGAGGGGTTATCGTTCACATGGCAGAGGATTAGACTTGAAACACCACAAGATGCACAGGAATTTTACGAATCTCAATCTACTCTTTTTGATCGAGAAAGTGAAGGGGAACCAGAGAGCAGGAGCTCAGAGGATATTATACTGGAGACAAGGATGGAAAGTCATGGCAAACAGGAGAAGATGAACGGAAAGGAAAAGGTTGGGGATGGACTCGGATTGCAAGTAGAAACTAGATCACGAAAACAGAAAGCCACAGGAAAGTGAGGATATGGAAGAGGGGCTGCACTTGTTTTCGGTGAATATCAATGGTCTAAACACCCCAAATAAAAGAAAGAAAGTTTGGCTTAATCTCCAAAACAAAATTACAATTTAATTTGTCTACAAGAAACCCACATACGTAAAGACCAGCAGAGGGTGTTAGTTTGTCCCAAACTTGGGAAATTGTATGTATCCCTGGCCGACCAGAAAAAATGAGGTATTGCGGTGTATGACCGTAAAGGATTAGTGACTCAACAACTATATGAAGATGGAGAGGGAAGAATATCATGTTTGGAGATTAAAATAGGTTTAAAATTGACTCTACTAGTAATTATCTATGCCCCCAATATTGATCAAAAAAACTTTTTAAAAAAACTGTATAAGAAGATAGCTGATCTCGATTATGAAAATGTATGTATTTTAATGCAATCTCTGACGCAGGTAAGGATTATGAAACAGGGAGGGGATCCCAAAAATATGCAAAAGGACAGAGAAAAACACTACCAAAAATTTGGGACAAATTGGCAACTGAAATAGGACTGTCAGGTGTATGGCGAGATCTACATCCTAAAGAAAAACAATACACTTTCTTCTCCCCCAGGCATTGGTCGTGGTCACGGATTGACATGTTTTGGTCAACATCAGAGATTAAAGAGGCGATTAAAGAACTGGAGATAGGTACGAATGTATGGGCGGACCACCATCCTATAATAATCAAATGGGCAGGGGTTAAAAAAAAAGAGCGAGATGGTCCATGAGAGCTGAATTAATGAAGGATGAGGACTTTGTTAATATGATAAAAATGGAATTACAATTCTTTTTTATGGAAAATAAAAGAGAGGACACTTCTCTACAAAATACTTGGGACACTGCTAAGGCCGTAGTGCGAGGATTGGCAATAAAATACTTAGCCCGCAAGTGGAAAGAAGAAAGATCAAAAAGATGGAAAGCCCGGGGGTGGGGAGGGTTGGGGCAAAAGGGGGGAAGAGGGAGGGGAAAATATGTGTAAAATTTTTTAAAACTTTTCAATAAAAAAAAAAAAAGATCAAAAAGGGTGGAGCTACTATCAGAGCTAGAAAAAATGGAAGAGGTGTTGCGATTGCGATTAGACCCACGAAATCTTAAATCCAAAGAGAAAAAAGATTTAATTAGACACGAGATTTCATTAATAGACCAAAAGGAGTTGGCAGACAAAATTAGGAAAAGCAGACAAAGACAGTTTGAGCATGTGAACTGGGAAATGGTTAAGTTATAGACTAAAGAAAGAGGCAGAAGCAAGAAAAATAGAATACTTACAGGATAAAAATGGAAATTTGGCAGTTAATAGGATCAAAAAAATAAAAATAGCCCAGGAATTCTATGGCTCTTTATACAGAGAAGAAAGATGTCAAGAAAATAAATTTGAGGAATATCTACAAGGACTTCAATTGGAACTGATCCCCGATTCTTTTAAGCACACTTTAAATAAAGAGATTACTATTGGTGAAATTGAAAGAGCTATTAAGAAGCAAGTGGGGGGAAAGACCCCTGGGCCTGACAGTGTCCCAAGTGAATTATATAAAGGTATTATTGACCTGCTGGGTCCTCAACTAAAGGATGTATTTAACGAGGTCTTTTTTTTTTATTGAAAAAGTTTTTCAAATACAGATTTTTCCCCCTTCCCCCCTTCCCCCCTCCTCCCTAACCCCCCTCACCCCCCTTCCCCTTTGACTTCTTCATGATAAAACCCAAATTCATAACAGATTATATCATGCTTGACTATCCACTTACTCCATCTCCATATACTGACCCTTTCTTTCTAATAAAATTATCATACCCCCCTTATACTATGCTATAATATGCATTTCAAAGTGACATTCTATTATAACAATGTCTAATAACTCCTGATTTAACATAATAATATTATATCTCCCAATTTAACAATTTCTGCTCGTGATCTACCCTTTTACTACCCCCCATACGATATAACATTTCATAGCATACTTCCACTCTAAGACTATTCAATAAATCCTAATTTAACACTTATTCAGTTCAGCTACCCATTTCCTTCCCCCCCTTCATTACGTATACTCACATCTAAACATAATATCCCTTTTCTTTAGACTAAACAATCCATAACCTAACCTATCTCCACCCACTTTCCTACAAAATTACCATAATTATTCTTAATATCTTTATTCTTCTGCCCACTCCCCTAGAAAAATATTCCCTTATGTAAATAAAATCCTAAAAGAGAAAAACTTTAAGCTTGTAATCCATATAGCATCTTCTGTAATATCTTTCAACTGGATGATAAACTCCATCGCCCATGTTAGGGTAACATCGCATCCTTATTCCAACAGTATTTTCAGTATCTTCAATTACCATCTGCCCCCATCAGTAACAAATATCTTCATGTTGGAAGAGAGAAAAAAAAAAACCCCGACAACCACCCGAGTGACTTTATAATTATATTTCATATAATATTTATGGAGGTGTCTTTTATCCAGATTATTAGTTCCAACCATCATAATAGGGTAACAACCAGATCTTCTGCGTGCCCCAATCCAGTAGATCTCTTGCCATATAACTCAGCATACACGTAATATATTTATCCGGAAATCCAAAAAACAAACAAGATATTTCCAACCATTCGATTTAAGGCCTTTTTCACATCCCAAAATAATTCAGCACTGCAGAGATCTGCCCTATCCTCAGGATAAAATAAACCAATACTTTGCCAATTATCTTTTCGTATATTCAGTCCTCTCATAAGTAACTGGCATTACACTGTTGTTTAGTTTAAAAGTTTTTATGTTTGTGAGACCTACTTCTTCTTTTCTTGACTTTTTGTGGGTTGGATCTCCATCCTAAATTCCTTTCTGTAGGTTGTGTGTCAACTATTTGGTTTTGCTGATGTATAACTTGATCCTGTTGGGTTTGCTTTTGTGGCTGAGATCTTTCTGGTTCTGTAAATTGTATATCAACTGATTGACTTCCATGCTGGTTTGTGGCTTGACAAATCATTGCATTAGGGTCCGAAACCGCCTCTCTTATATTAAATAATCCAGCTGAGACCTCTGAAAGAGAATCCAAAAGCGGCTCATCTGTGGAGACCTCTTTAACTTGTTGTTTCTTCATTGTCTCCATCTCCTTCTGCTTTTCTTGAATTTCTGTCTCTTGTTGATTTTGCTTTTTAAGTACCTTATGATAAAATTCTTCCGCTTTTTCAACAGTATTTAACTGATATCTTACTCCTTGATATCTCAGTATTATACCCACTGGGACATCCCACCTGAATAAAATATTTTGTCTTCTTAACTCAGTCACCAAGAGACCAAATTTCTTTCTATCTCTTACCATCTTAGGCGGCAATTCTTTATATATCCAAATTTTTCTCCCATTCAGTTGTAAAGTAGAATTAAAGGATTTTTGCACAATATCATTTCTTATCTCCTTATCTGTAAAGTAAATCACCACATCTCTAGGCAGTTGCCTTTGCTTTGCAATCCAGGAATTCACTCTATAAGCCTTATCAATTTTACTGAATACCTCCTCAGGATGAACCTTTAAGATCCCAGCCAAAACTTGAGCAGATGTTTTTCTTAAGTCATCACTGTTATTTTCCTGTAAGCCTCTGATTCTGATCGCAAATTCTGTAATCCTGTATTGCAGCATTACGACCTCTCTTTCAATGTGACACCTCTCCTGCGCGAGCTGCACTGGCTCCCAGTGGTCTTCCGGGTGCGCTTCAAGGTGTTGGTGACCACCTTTAAAGCGCTCCATGGCTTAGGGCCGGGGTATTTACGAGACCACCTTCTGCCACCAATAGCCTCCCACCGGCCAGTACGCTCGCACAGAGTGGGCCTCCTCAGGGTGCCGTCCGCCAGACAATGTCGGCTGGCGACCCCCAGGGGGAGAGCCTTCTCTGTGACGGCGCCCACCCTCTGGAACAACCTTCCCCCAGAGTTACGTATAATAACAGACCTCCGGATTTTTCGTCGGGCCCTGAAAACCTATTTATTTCAACAAGCTGGGCTGGCCTGAGTTAAATTTTAAATTGATTTTAAATTGGGTTATCTTAATTTCGGCCAAAATATTTAATTATTTTAATACTGTTCTTAAATTTTGTATGCTTTGTTTTTATCTTGGCTGTGCACCGCCCTGAGTCCTATTGGAGAAGGGCGGTATAGAAATTTAATTAATAATAATAATAATAATAATAATAATAATAATAGTAATTCCTTGCTTTATATCTTCTGCATTATAAGTCTCGTGACCAGCTTCCTCTTTAGACTTTACTTCTGAGCTATTATCTCGAATATTTATTAAGTCCTTTTCAATTCTTAATATTTTATTATCCAAATTATCAATTTTCTCCATTTTAGACTCTAGCAATTTAATATTTGTATCCAACTTTACAACAACTTCTGAAAAACCATTAGTCACTGTTACAATCTTTTGTTGCAAATTGTCATACTTTAGTTGTATCATTTCTTTAATTTCCTGCCTTAAATTTTCAAATTTCTGGTTCACAGTCTCATAATATTTTGCCATTTCCTCCTGAATAAATTCTTTTAAATTAAAACCATTCTGCAGAATCTGTAGGCTCAAAGCTTGTTCAAACAGTTGTGAGTGGGGGAGCACCCCCCCTTCTTGTCTATCAGATTTTATTAGTAACGCCATCCTTCCAGCAAACTCTTCTTTTTTACCCCCCAAACAAGATCAAGTACAAATCTCCAAGAAGAGAGGAACTTAAAATAACTATTTTTCTTTCAAGTTGTAGCCAGCACTATATATTCCGCTACTTTGTATCTGTTATGGAAGGACTCTTACTTTCAGCTTTCTTCTACTTCCCAAGCGTCAGCGGCCATTTTAAAGCTTTTTTTTTTTCTCTTTCACTTTAAAATGCTTGTAAATTCATTAAGGATACTTGAGATTTAGGGTCCCAAGTCCAAGTCTCATCTTTTTTAATAAGTCCGTCTGTTAGGTTCGTTAGTTAATCCAGTTCCAGCACCTAGCTCTGCAAAAAGGCAGAGTGCACCCGATGCCCGGAGCAGCGGCGAGGGACAATAGGGAGCTCCAACCTGCTCATCCCCAAGAGTTAAAAAAAGACTCTGGGGACTTCGCAGAGGGCTCTACCCACCCCCACCCGCTCAAACTCACATTTCCATCAGGAAATGGAGTTTTTCGAGCCGCCTTTCAGATGTAAAGGCGGCTCTTTTACAGGCAACGGGGTGGCGGTCATGGAGGACCGTCTGGCGGCGCCGGAAGCCAGACAGGAAGTCTATTTAACGAGGTCTTAACAGATGCCAAGATACCTCAATCCTGGAGGGAAGCTTATATTTAATTGATTTCAAAGCCCGACTCGGACCGATCACTAATTCAATCTCGCTCTTAAATGTCGATTACAAGATCTTTACGACAGTACTAGCAGAAAGACTCAAAATATTTCTTTCCCACTTCATCCATCAGGACCAAAATGGCTTTCTACCTCATAGACAACTTCGAGACAACGTAAGAGTAATTTTAAATGTAATGGAGTATTATGAAAGGTATTCAGACAAAGGTATGGCAATGATATTCATAGACGCCCAAAAGGCCTTTGATAGGGTCAATTGGAATTTTATTACACAGCAATTAAAAATATGGAATTTGGCCCTAAATTTATAAATGCAATTCAGGCTATATATACTAAA